TTAGGGTAGCTTGCTTTGTCTATGTAGTATGAAACCAGTGTTATGGATCGAGGCGCTACCTCGTAGAATTCTCTCTCTAGTCTACTCGTCGTTCATGCGAGGTTAACTGGCAAACCCTTCCCACATGACCAGTCGTCACTCAAGATTAAGTGTAAGGTAATCCAACTGATTGATCTCACAACTTTAACCAACCTCATGTCTGGCTCGACATTATGAGTACTGAAGTGGAACTTGATGGTACAGGCGTCGGAGTAGAAAGAGTAGTAGTGACTCTAATGGCATCGTTAAACTAATGATATCGAACATACTACCAATGAGCTAGAGAACTACCTTTGTCATTCTTGGATGTCGTGGAGGTCGTCTACTATATTCTTAGGGGAGTCTAGGTGGTTTAAATCTCATCGCTCATTTTCAGAACATTTGGGGTTATCTCCTCGAGACTAACTCTAAGTATACACAAGACTAAACCAATCTCTAAGTATACACAAGACTAAACCTCTAATCACTCACGATCTAGGGGTGCAAAGTCTACTGGTAATGTACTAACCTAGGTGAACATGTAAACCACTCTAGCTGTAGCGCCCTAAACTTAGTTTGATTCTCTTGTGCATGCTTTGGTAGGGAGATTATTCTATCGGGTCATCATAGGGGCATTTTGGTAATTTATTACATCTTACACAGCGTACTTACCCATATTGCCTAACTCGTATTCTAGTCATGCACACTCTCTTTCTAGCTTTGCATAATAAATAAAATAGCATGCTTCTCAGAAATCTCAAACTAGGGTCCTAAAAATACATGCACTACAAACTTATCCGAAAATGCCCTTCTAAAGTACTCCTGGATTTGGCGATTATGCAGCACCCACTCTCAGCATTGAGTGAGTCAAGCCTACATCAAGTCACGTTGCCTACGGTCGGGCAACGTGAATATAAACCTCGGGTCTCGATTTCAAGAGAAGATTTTAGAAAGCGAGGGAGAGAGGTCTTGGAAAAAGAGTCTTGAAAGCAAGAGAGAGAGAGAGAGATTGATGTTATATAGCATACAAGCAAAAAAGCATCAAGAACGGCTTAAACAGTATATAACTATTTGAGGTAGGGAGAATCTAACAACTATTTCAGGGAGGGAGAATCTAACAACTAGTCGCATCCAGTGTAGTACATTTTGAGGCATTTCATGTCTACTAGGCGTTGCATGACATCGCCAAAACATCATACTCTTAAAGAAAACAAAAAAGAAATAATACAACATGAAAGCGGTAAAAGAAAGCAACAAAGTAGTGCAAGGCAAAAGTTTCAGCGTGTCACGGGCATGCGGCCATGTGCGACATGCCTTGGACAAGCATGTCTGTGACACTAGGCATCCCACAAGTGTTATCTAGATTTTGTGTGGCTACTTACATAGATGGTGTGTGTCTTCTTAAGCTAGCTTTTTTGCACGTTGGAGGGTCCATAATTTCTAAAATTTCTTTGGTAGGTTTTAATTCAAACAAAATTATGGTTAGTATTAATATCGGAGCGAAAATAGTAAAACGGAGGTCGAACGGGACAACAAGGAAGACTTACACATTGTGCACGCACATCCACGTGCCCAAAAAACCTCCCATGCGTGCAGCCTTGTGCAAGTACACACACACTTAAGAGAAGGATGTGCGCACTCACGACGTGCCACATGTCAAGTTGTGGTTCATCTTTACATCCATCGCGACGCAGGTTTGAACCTTAAAAACGTTAGGTTTTCTGTGAAATCCCAAATGACGACACGTGGTGCATGTAGTCAGTGCGTTGGAGGCGTGTCAGGTCATCTCGTGGATTTGATTGATGGATGGTTCTCAGGTTGGTTTGTTCTAGAGATCGCGTGCGCCAATCAAATGTCGACGCACATCCTGCACCTCGCCAATTGCACTTCTTTCCCCATTAGCCAACACGCGTCTCTACCGAAGCATGACGATGTCACCTCCTTCCTCAAATTTCCATTTGAATGAACTTGGCTCATTCCCTCCCAAAACAACCTTCTAAAGAAAATTTCTAAATCGAGAGAAAATTGAGTGATTCAAAAGTCGAGAATAGTTCTTCCAAGCCCATAGAGAATTAGAGGTGTTAATAATACCTCCTATTCAATAGGGCGTCCACTAGATTATTAGCGAAAGAAAATGCACCCACTTTTTTTTCAAAAGAAGTGTTATGCAAGTATTTTAGAGGCACTTGAGTAGCCTAGAAATGTCTAAAAAGTGCCTAAAAATCTCGCAACGACCAAAATGAACTTGAACGTTCCGCAGGTGAGCCTAATGCTCATAACCAACCACCCGAACGTATACAAGTATCTTAAAGTAAGCCTAAAGCACATAAACCGTCTCTAGCAATACAAACTATCTACAGAGTTACTTGAAGTGTGTTTAACTCATACTCCAAACCCAATACACTAACTAACGATTCAAAGTCAAAATAAAATGACGGTAACTCACTCAAATTCACTCAACATCTCACAAGCTCAATACCATACACTTCACGTTTGAAAAGAAGAAGAATGAGGAAAAACGTCGGCTTAGCCTCCCACTAAGTCGGCCTTACTTTCCCTCCCCACGATAGACATTGGCACACATATATCTTTTTCAACGCAACTCGTTTCGTCAGCATAGCTTCGAATATGTAGACAAAAGTTTAAAGAATTAGGATTTCTACCCCGACTTCTCACCACTCTCAACTTGTCTTCGTTGCTTAGTGAGTATTTTATACTCATTCCTTTTCCCTTTCCTTTTTCAAGTATCGAACAAGGTGGTGAGGTACTCGGGAGCTGTGTTGTCGCAGAGGGGTGTCAACCCGGAGCGTCTACTTTGTATTTCGTTTTGGGTTACCATTTGTATTGATATTTTTCTTACCTTTGTTCTCCATTTGTAAATAACTCAGAATACCTTTTTTAGATTGTGGCAATGGTATTGTTTGATTTTAAATCACTCGTAATTTTACCGTATTTTTATTTGTTTTTTTTTTTTTAATTTTATCTCCATTCTTTTCTCTTTATCCCGATCTGATTTCTCAAAGCCTCAAAGATCGAGTCATGACATCGACACTTTCAAATTGTCTTGGGATGCCAAACTTTGATTTTATAATCGCCGAAAAATATCTTTTTTTCTATAAGTTTTTTAGTATAATTTTCATTTACATTTTTTTTATATTAAATTTTTATTCTTTAATTTTGATTTTATTTTCCATTTAATCTTTAAATTATAACTTAAAAGATTTTAGACTCTTGAATTTTAAATATTATATTTTTTTATATTAAGTTTTTGTTAGTTTATTTAATATAATTATGTTATAAATTTTATTTCGATAATTTTAATAGTAATGAAAAATTAATTGCTAAAAAATTAGCATCTCTAGTATACCAATAGGTATATTCTTCGGTATACCTATAGGTATATTCTTCGGGAGTCTCTTGGGGCTCCGACTCTCGGTAAGATGGGCATTGCTACCTACAGGTATATTCTTCATCTGATTAAGGCGAATTCCACTTGAGCTACAGAAAGATCCCATTATTTATGTAACGACTCTAAATTTCTATTTACTCAGAATTGCTACTGTCTCATTTTCTTCTAGAATGCTGAATATAACTCTTAAAAAAATACATCATCTATAGTATAAATGTCATAACATATAAAACATCTTAATACGGATACTGAAATTTAGAGAAAATAAAAAAAAATAAATACAAAATAATTTAAAATGATGAAATGCAAAACAACTTATTCTAATCTAAGATCAGGGAGATATATATATATATAGATGTATATGAATATGCATATGTATTCTGATTCGTTACAATTTAGGATGAGATTCACACGAACACTTGAATAATAGTACACAAATTATATTGAAAAAATCTTTAAGACCAACTTGAAATTTTGGGTTAGTTGGGTTGGTGACACGAGCAACAAGAGTAGAATTCACAACACAACCCAAGTTGAGTTGGGTCGGGTTGTTGTGTTATATTTTTTTATATTTATTTTAAAAGATTATACTTATTTGTTATGATGTTACGTTAATAATTAAAATCTTATAAAACTCAAATATCAAATATTCATGGTTTACAATACATCACTAACCTTGATTACAAACATCAGCTATACCCAACTGTACATTTTTGGGTTGGGTAGTATAGTATGGTACGTAACACTGACATCGATTAAAAGTATGGTAGGGTAGGTTTGAGTTGTAATTCTATTTTCCATAAAAAAAAAAGAAAAAAAACGTCAACCCACAAATTGACTTAAATTTTCGGGTTTCTAAAAATCCAACCTAACCAAAACCAAAAATGAAATCCAACCCAACCGTACTTTTATGATCTGGGTTGAGTAATTCAGATTGGTCGTATTCTTAAGCCATATAAATACTTCTACTGAATAAGATTCCCTTGTAATGCTAAACTCGAGATTATTGTCAAACTTCATCTTAAAACATACACAAACTTTACGCGTTGTCTACAAAAACCCCTAAACTTTCAAAAATTCAAACAATATTCTTGAACTTAAAAAAAAAAAAAATTATATATACTTTTATCGTTCGTTTTATTTAATAAAAAATACCTTTACTTTTTTTTTAATTTTAAAAGTATTTCGTACTATATTTTAAAAATACTCATGAACTTTTTAAAATAACATTAAAATATTGGTAAATAATCTATGTGGGGTCGATAAATGATTTTTCATCTGTATATTGACGATAATATTATAAAGATAATATTTTTTAAAATTTTATGAATATTTTTTAAGTAGGAATCAGTAAAAATATTTTTGAATTTTAAATTTAAAATATATGTTTTTTCCGGAAATAATATATTTTTTGAGATTTTAAAAAGTTTAAAAATATTATTAAATTAATATTTTTACTAAGATACCCTAAAAACAAACCAGTATTACGTGGGTAGTGTCAGTGTGGGGTTCGTGCGTTTGATTTGGATTATAAAAGAAAAACTAACTGAAATCCATTAACTGAATTCCACCGGCATCGCCCGCCGTTTTGATTTTCTTCTCTTTCGATCCCCCTCTCTGCTGCAACCTCACGCCGCCGCCGCCACCGCCGCGAAAATCCCCATCTTCTCCGCTCGCTCGCTCGCTGTCGAGGTCTGCTCCAATAAGGTAGTTTTTCTATTCGTTCTTCTGTTTTGTTTCTTCGATTCAACCAACTTCATAATAGAATCAAAACTTTTCTTTCTCCTTTTTGTTTACTCGACAGCCAGACGAACTTCTCCTATTTCTTTACTCGAAATTTTAATTTGTATTCATAAACCTATTTTTTTGTTTTCTGCAATTTTCAGTTCAGTTGGATTTTCTCTTATGCATGATTCTTAAGATCAATTTATGTATCGTTCCTCGTTCTTTTGATTGTTATTATGTTGTTTGTACTGATTAATTTTTAGTTTTCCGATCGTTGTAGGTGATTGTGACGCACTGCAACATGGTGTGGTGCAGTAATTGTGTGAAAAATGTTGCTGGGTCTCGAGATAATGCTGGTTTCCAGTTAGTATTTATTTTAAAATTTAATCTATGAACATTTGGTTTATGATATAACAATGCTTACTTAGCTTTCTCTGTGGGTTTTTGTATATTTGTTTAATAGATACTGTGATATGTGTGGGAAGGTGTTGGATTTTTACAATTTCTCTCAGGATCCTACTTTTACAAAGGATTCTGGAGGGCAGGTACTTAAATTCTAGTTATGTTGTTTGTCAAAGATATATTATACTGTTATTATGCATAAAATTGTCAACCCTAACCTATGATATTGTGGTACTGCTGAGATATTCATATTGATGTCCGAATGAATTTTGCAGAGTCAATTGTCAGGAAATTTTGTTAGATCTATTCAGAGTAATTATTCTGCTTCACGGGAAAGGACATTAAGTAGAGGTTTGCTGTTTGACTTACTTTCTCTTCTTATGATAAACATGTGTAAACGACCTCGGTTCTTCAAAATTAACCAAGTATATCTGAGCTTTCTTATCCTGTATCAGCTTTTGATGATATGAGATATATGAGGAATGGCTTAAACATGGGTGAGAGTGATGAAATAATTCGTGTAGCTGGGGCATTTTATAGAGTAAGGTTTCTTTTTCTCTGAGCCCTATGTATGTGATGTTTATATGTGCATATGTACTTATTGGATTGATGTTTCTTCACCTTTAAATGTACTGAAGATTGCATTAGAGAGAAATTTTACCCGTGGACGCAATACAGAGTTTGTTCAAGCTGCTTGCCTTTACATTGCTTGTCGGTATGAGATTCCCCTTCCCTGAATTACAATTATTCCTGATATTTATTCAAGCTGATCATATATTTTAATTTTGTTGCATTGATTGACGATTTATATTTGATAATATGAGGCCATGCAAGAGATTTTTTTTGTGAACGAGTTCTTTTGATACCCCCATGAAGCTTGTCAGAAAATGAAAAGGCTATGCTTCTGAATGATATAATCTCATTGGGATTATCTATTTCAACCTCTTTTCTTCGTATGTTGTTCGATTGCTTTCCACAAAAAGTTATTTTCTGTTTATAATTACTGCAAACATTATATCCATTCCCATGTGTCACTGTGTTCTTTATTTCTTAGATAGTTGTGAGTGTCCAAGTCAATTTATGCACAAGTTTTATGAGAAACCTTCTTAGGATTTATAATAATTGGCCTCGAAACATTCATCCGAACATTTAAATAGGTGGCTATGTGGTTTGAATCCATGATCGAATGACATTTGGATTTGCACGGTATCCCTTTGACTATTAGACCAATGTAGTTATCTTACTATGCCCACCTTTGAAATAGGCATTCTGCACAGTGTTAACGTATTTTGTAAGGATGTGAATAGATCCCAGTTTCGCAACTACCATTATAAGAGAATACAAGAAAAATGATACTGTCCAAGTTCTTTGTCAAAAATGAAAAATGATAGTGATAGTGACCTAGGTATTTTGAAGAATCCAAAAGCTCCTTTGAGCCAAGCTCGTCACTAAGCTTTCGCGATCATTGTTTACCTCATTGCTACCCTTCCATTATTTGTAGTTGTTAAATCTACTTACAGTTTGAGCATAAGAAACTAAATTTAGTAAAAGAGTTTCCTCTCTCCCTCTAATGCGAGTTGGAGAGGTTGGTGAAAATCCAAAGTAAAAGATTTGTGGTGAACTGTTTTAGTTGAATATTTTTGTGTACTGAAGTCAATGATGGTGAAGCTTAGTTGGGAACCTTATCTTGGGCGAGGGATTGCCTCATTTTCCTCACTACTAGACTTAATGTATAGAGATGTACAAGTTACAACCGCATGCTTGATGACCAACATAAAGTTTTGTTTGACAATTTTCCTTTCTCTTGGATCAATCTAGATTGGAAGGTGTTTATGTAATAGTTGTTCTTGGTCAGGGCTCCTCTACTCTTCCCATCCCCTCCATTTTTTCCCTTTTATCTACTAAATATATGATCTTTGATTAAAAAAGGTTAAAGAACATATTTTTCTTCATACTTTCATTGAAGTAATGGTTTAATGCAAGAACTTCAATGTATAATAATTTAGTCTCTTTAGTTTAAAATTTGTGAATGGTTAGTATATGAAGTTTAATATGTAAGAGTATACCCTCTGTAGTTTATTGTTTGAAATAATATGTTCCTTGTAGTTTAAATTTTACAACAAGTTAATCCCTGTCATGAAAAGTTGCATTATGTTGGGACTTGCTTGTACTTAATGGGATTTGTAGCATAGGTAGATTAACTAATTGCTTGGGCCTGAATGCGATACATGAAAACTAGCGTGCCCTCACTATGTCTATATGTGTGTGTATGATATATATATACATATATGTATGTATGTATGAATGAATGAATGCATATATGTATGTGTTTATGTATATATATGTACGTGCTTATATGCATGTCAAAAATTTGCTAATGTTCTTACATTATCGATAAAGGTACTAATATTTCCTCAACATGTTTAACCCTATATACATATATTAGAAAGTGATGTGTCATGCTGTATTTGTGTTATGTGTTGTGTGTTGTATAGGTTTGTTCTTCATGTTAGAGAACCTATGTAAACTTTTATTTGGTAACTGTACCGTTTCTTGATCAACTCTAGTTTCTACATTGGAAGGCACTCATGTCATAGTTGTCCTTGGTTTGGGCTCCTCCGCCCCTCCCTCCTTTTTTGTTTTCTTTTTGTGCAGTGAATATATGTTTTCTTATTGCAAAGAGGTTAAAAAAACACCTCTGGTTCTTATACTTACAAGCTACATTGAAGTAACAATTAAGTATTTGAAATTTAATGTGTTATCATTTAATTCTTGTAGTTTAATTTAGTCCTTCAACTTTAGTAAATAACAAGTTAGTTCTTTTGGTTAAAATCTGGAATGATTTAGTCCCTTTAATTTAAATTTTGTAACAATATAATCTCTACTATGAAAAGTCTAAATAGTAGCAGGGTTTGTGGTGTTTATAGATTGATAAATCACTTGGGATCTGTTGTGTTTTTTAAATTAGAGGGACTAAAATCAAGTAAAAGATAAGGTACTTCAACTCTATGAATTTTTTCATGAGGGACTAAATTTTTTAAAATTTTAAATAGGTGGGACTAAATCATGACATACTGTGAAGGGAGTTAATCGTAACAAATTTTAAGCTACAAGTACTAAATTGTTATGGATTAAAGTTCCAATACTAAATTGTTACCTATAGGAAAAAGGAAACTAAATTTTTACATCTAAATTTTTACATCCATGAAAAATATAAGCGAGGAAGGGGGTGAAGATTGAGTTGGTAAGTGTCAACTTAGCCTGTTTTGGGACAAGGATCTTCCATTTATCAGTTTTTGGTTGCACTTTATCGTTGATCTGATGCCAAAACGTTGTTTTGTTGGGATTTCATTAGAATGGAAGCCCTAGGCAAACCGTTGGCCTACCTCCCACTTTGCATCTGGATATTGTGTTTCGGTCGACATTTTGGAATATTTCCATTGAGACCCATGTTCATAAATGCACATTGTTTATCAACTCTCCCTATAGATGTGCATGGACACATGCATGTATCTTGGTGGACCAAAATTTTGTTGAATGATGTATGATGAATGATGCACTAATATCAAACTTGTATTTTGTTATGTAGGGAAAAGAATAAACCATATCTTCTAATTGACTTTTCAAATTATTTGAGGATAAATGTGTAAGGTTTCTCTTCCCTTAGTATATGTATTTGATTTGTTGGTTTTTTCTTAATTATTTTTTATTTTATTTTTATATATATTAGCATCGTTACACCTTTGAAGTTTTTTGCAGCTATGTGTTGGGCGCTGTATTTTTGCAACTTTGTAAAGTGCTAAGACTTGAAGAGCACCCTATTGTTCAAAAGCCAGTTGATCCTTCCCTTTTTATAGATAAATTTACTCAATGTAAGTCTTTCATGTCACATGAGTTGCACGTTTACAAGCTATTGACATTTCCACTAAAGCCTATCGAGCTGAAAATCTAAATTGTCTTAATCAATATAGTTTTAACCATTGCTCATTTTCTTTTATACATCAATAGTTTCTAATATTTATTAGGATACAAAACGTGGGGGTTGTTGATTTATGCAAACCGTGGACTAGTGATGTGTTTGAACGTCCACTTTTACTTGGTTTTTACTATTAGTGAACCACTTTGCCAAGGTTTATCACTTTTTTTTTGTTTGATTATCTAATTTTTGACAGCATATAATTTTTCATTAAATTTATTTTTCACTATTTTGGTTGTTTTGATGTTAAATTTACATGTTTAATATATTTTAAAGTCCTAGATATTTAAATATATTTAAAAAATCAGGCGTGCCCAATGTGTCTGCCTCATACCTTTTTTTTTTTTTTATAGAAATTAACATGTAATGCTATGTGTATTTGTATCCCATTTTAGCACGTTTTAGATTTAACATTTTGAGTACTGAGATGTCTTAACCAAAATTGTTCCTAGGTTTGCTTGGAGGAACAAAGGACGATGGAATGAAAAAGGAGGTTTCCAGAACTGCATTGAAGATTATAACCAGCATGAAGCGTGATTGGATGCAGGTCTGGTATGGGAACCACCATATTTTCTATCAACTTCTTGCTGGTTCTTTTTGAAGTTGATTTTGGGTCCTAACGGTTCTTTCAGACTGGGAGAAAGCCTAGTGGCCTATGTGGTGCGGCTTTATACATATCTGCACTTTCTCATGGTGTCAAGTGTTCCAAGTCTGACATTGTAAGTAATGTTGATCGTTCAGTGTTAATATTTCCTTTTGTACTTCTTTTTGATGAGGAACATTGTTTTTCAACTTGAATGATTACCAAATAGATTGTGCTTTTTTCCATATCTTTTACTTATCAAATAAGGAACGAATATTCCTCTTGCCTTTTGTTGTAGTATTTTCTGGTTCTATTGTCTAGGATTCATGTCAATCTTCAACAATGTTCATCGTATATTTAAAAATTTTGTTACGAAATCATGTCAATGGAAATTTCAATGCCTTGAATATATAGAATCCTAAACTTCCCATTATCTTATAGAATGGTGAAAGACCAAAAAAAAAAAAAAAAAGAAAAAAAAGAAAAAAACTTCTTGAACTTCCCAAAAATTACTGAATTATCTCAAAGAATGATAGAAATTAGTGCTATCATGAAACAATGAGCAATGCTGTCTTTAACAAGAAAACTCCACTAATCGATACAACTACAATACTTCTTGGAAAAAGACTAAAATAATGACCTAGCTTTTTTTGTTTGTAGGGTTTCTTGAACTTGTTGAACATAGTTTTTTGTTGATCGGAAAGAGGTTCACCAACTACCTACACTATTGTCTTCTTAAAAAAGAAGTTGGTTTGGCCGTTGGATGCCATTTCGGATTTAGTTCTTAGCCTTCTTTCACACAAGGTTTCTAGGAGTTGGTAGTTCAGTGAGTTGTTTTGGGCATAAAATATTAGGAACCGGAAGGTGTTTTTTCTGAAATTATGAAACTCCAAGGCAATGTAAAGAAGTTAAACATTGTCATCCTTCCCACTAATAAAGAAAGTTGGAAAGAAAGTTTTTATTGAGTTAAGGTGTTTCACATTTTGATGTTGGCAAAAATAGGAAAAGAAATAAACTTCAAACAACCCCACAACTCAGCTTTTCTTCAAGCATGTTGTGAATACTTTCGGAGTTCCCTCAAGTATTGTCAATTCTAGAGATAACTGATTTATGGGTACTTTCTGGACGAGGCCATTTTTGCTCTTGAGTCCAGTCTAAGTATATCTTTGAGTTACCATCCTCGATGGATGGCCATACCCAGAGATTCAACAGCTTACTTGAAGATGCTTAACAAAAGAATTGGGTCTAGTTGTTAGACATTGCACTGACCAACAGAAACAACCTAGTTATATGATAAAATGCATGTTGAATCAGCAATTTAGACTTTAAATTATTTATTGCGTTCTAATCATTTTTAACCAGAAACAAACTTCTCATTCTTACGTCAAAATTAAAATAACCCTGGTTAATTAACATTGTAATTTTTTCTTATTTTGATATATTATTTGTTGCAGTCTTATATATGTTGCCCTAAATTTATTTCAGATAAAGATTGTGCATATTTGTGATGCAACATTGACTAAGCGGTTAATTGAGTTCGAGAATACAGAATCTGGCAGCTTAACGGTAACTGATTTGCTTTGAGATGGTCTTTACTATCACGTGGTGTATTATTGTTTAATACATGTTATCATTGATGCTAGCATTACACTATTTATAGTCATCAATATCCTTTTAGTTGATCTTATTTTCTTGTGAAGTTCTGTTTTACTTGAGAGAAACTTGTAATGCATTTGACGTGAAGCTAAGATTCTTTAACTTCGTGTAGTTGAGGATATATGGGATTGTGGTTGTGAAGAAGTGGTTTAGTTTTTGGTGATAAAAGTACTTTATGGAGATTCTTGATGCAATGTATGTTTAGTTACTGCTTCCCAGTTCATTTCACTCTTAAGTCTTACCTTTCTTATGCTGTCAAACAGGAGTCTGATCTTTTCTACTCCATTGAAATTAGTCAAGTTATTTATGTTTATATTTTGAAAATGGATAAAGAATTATTTTTTACGGAAAAAAATGTCTCTACTGCTATCTCAACATGATGAAATTTTTATTATGTATTTTTGTTTATACTATTATTTATCTATATATGGAAATGTATGTTATTTTATTCTTGTTCGAGCCTTTTCATGCACGTTGATCTTGGGGAATATCTTCCATCTGGAAATGCTGATATTTCAAAGAAAAAAGAACACTAGAGTTGGTTGTATTGCCAAACATGTTCTTGCTGATGCCAATAGTTAATAAAATACCCAATTATATTCTAAGCTCGTAAATTTATTCTGCATGTCTTTTATTTTCAAACTAGGAAATAAACCTGAGTATTGATAAGGACTCCTTGATTATTTCCTTGTTTAGTTGGAGGAATTTATTGTCATGGCAGACAAGGCCAAGGGAAGCAACTCTGAGCGCACTGATGGATCCAATAATGGCTTGAATTCATCGAGTGATGAAGTACTTTGCGTGCATAAGAATGACACCACAAAGCCATATGCTCTTGGCCTTTGTAGAATTTGTTATGATGATGTGAGTTTCCTCTTTTTCCATGCTGTAAAAAAGTGATACGTAAATTGTACTTTCTTAAGATCTAAGCTAATTTGGTGCAGTTTGTTGAGCTTTCCGGAGGACTTGATGGGGGAGCAGATCCTCCAGCATTTCAAACTGCTGAGAGAGAAAGACTCGCAAAAGAAATGGCTGAGGAGGGTTCTAATGACTCTAGTGCTATTGGCAAATTTTCACAAGGACTAAACCCATGCAACAATGTAATGTTTTCTTTAACAGAATTCTCTCTCTCTCTCTCTCTCCTTTTTTTCCCTTCTTTTTCTTCTAGGTCTCATCATCAAGAATTATAAATGATTTTCTTACTTCAGAAGGTACTAATGACTCTAGTGCTATTGGTAAATTTTGGTGAATAAATATTTTTAAAAAGTTTGCTTGAATAAATTAATTCTATCTCAATAACTTAGCTTTTTAGACTAAGAGTAAATCACTTAAATATGAATTTAAATTTAGATATTTCTTCGTTTTAAAATTGATCGACCATATTTTCGGATTTTTTTTCCCCTTAAGTAGAACAAGTGGGGTATGATGGTTTTGAACCTCTGTCTCTAAGGACAAGAGGACATGTCAATTACCTTGAGCTATGTTCACTTTGGCTTATCCTTGGAAGTTTTAAGACTACAAAGATTGTTAGTGGGCTTTATTTTTAAATAAATTGCATCTTATTAGTGGTGCCACTAGAAGATATTTAATGGTTGGCTTGTGAACCCACCAAGCAAGTTGCATCAATATCAATTGACCAGTGGGTAAGGCAAGTACTGAGTGAGGTTTGGAGGTGGCACGTGAAGGTCTAAGTTAGAGGGTTGTATTGCAGTTGCACCGAAAGAGAGTTGATTGTCCCCCTATCAAATGTAAGAAAAGGTAAATTATGTTTACAATCAAGCTGCTAGTGTGAGCTTGACATAAGGGCCAAAAAAGATAATTATTTTTATTTTTATTTTTAATTAAAGTGAATGAGGAAGTGAATGAGGTGCACTACAAACACAAGAGTAGAAACTGAAAATTGGGGTATTACAATTGGATTACATAAACTGAAATGAAAGCTAGTACGAAGTTTCATAATTGTAAATGAACTTTAGTTCTGATCTTCAAAATATGCATGTAATTTGAATCGGTGATGTTTTGGAAACATGGTTCTTTGGTTAGATATACTCATATTGAGATTCCACCCATTTACCTCTCTTCAATGTTGTTCTTTTATAGATTGAAAAAGAATTGGACAATTTACATGCAGCAGATGCATCAAAAACTGTTAGTTCTAAAGAAGCTGAAGCAGCAAAAGGTAAGATGCAAAGCTCAACTTCATGATGCGTTGAGAGTTGTTTTCAATTTCATTCATGTATGTAATTTTCCAAAGTGAAAAAAAAAAAAAAAACCCAAGCCAAAAGAGTTGCAGAAGACTTCTCCAATTGGACAAAAGTGATTCAATAGATTTACTAATTAAAACGAGGAGTATTTACACCAGGGTAGCTAATAAAATCATTAAGAAGTGCTGTTGTCTGTTCCTATGATCCTTTTCTCGTTGTCTGAGTTTAAAATGTTACTTGAAAAAATGATAATTCAGGAGCTGCTGGAGATGAGCAAAGAGAACTCGATGATGGTGTTAATAAACTTGGAGATGATGCCTTGAGAACCTGTGCTTCAGATGAATCAGAAAGTTGGTCTGATATTGATGATATTGAGGTTTCTTTCTTTCTTCTTTTATTTTATTTTATTTTATCAAAGTTCATTTGCTATTAATATCTGCATAGAAGGTTGGAAAAAAAATGTACCATACTTTATAGACCAAAAAATAAAAACGTAACTACTTTCTAGAGGAATGAGTGTCGTTCGTGGCAACTCCAAGTGCCTGTTTGGGAAAATTGAAGCTTATTATATATTATTCATCTCGCTGACTCAATACCTAGCACTCTATGCGCAATGTAGAAGGAAATACAAGAAAATGCGCCCGGTCGATGTGGGATATTGTGATGTTATATTTTTACTTTACATTTTATATCTATGTTAAGACTTGCCTGTCAACATTACCTATGATCTTTTATCTTAATTAACTTGATCTATCATTCTATCATTTTGTTAATTTAGATTGGAATACTTTTTCGTAGGAACGAAAGGTTATCTGTTTCTTATCTGTTTCTATCATTCTGTTGTAGTTGCTAGACATTTTCTTTTCAGGTTCTGAGGGACAACTTTTTCAGTGCTTGGATTTTTCTGGGTTAAGTCGATACTTGGAAGTTCTGGGGGGCATATAAGGGTTTTGCTTTTTGGTGGATACTTTCTTCCTTATTCCACATGAATTGAATATTGAGTGCCCACAAGCACACTTGATTATGATGTATAGATACTGTTCAATTTTGTGTTTGTACTCCAATAAATATATTTATTTCCTCAAAGAAAAAAAGTAAAGCGAGGGACATTAAAATGTTTGTCTGGTCGTATATAATTGTTGAGGGAAGAAAGAAGGGGGTAATAGGTGTCCTCTTGAAATAACTGATCTTATATGTATTGAATTTTTCAATATTTTTGTCTTCATTATAGACTTAATGGATTACCACTCAAATGACAATATATTGCATAGGTTGATGGTTATCTTCACAATGAGGAGGAGAAACATTACAAAAAGATAATTTGGGAAGAGATGAACCGGGAGTATCTTGAGGTACATATTTTCATTCATTACAAGCCAATTCGTTGTTGATATCTGTAGACTATTCATACTTTTTACAGGAACAAGCAGTTAAGGAAGCAGCTGCTGCTGCTGCGAAGAAGGCTTATGAGGCCAATTTCGAAAATTGTTCAGAAGATATGAAGGCTGCAAAGGATCTTGCAGATGCTGCAGCCGCTGCTGTTGCAAAATCTAGAAAGGTTTCTGTCTTTATTTCTCTCACTTTTACCATTCACTTATTCATCTTTGTACTCCTTTTGATTTTTTAATATAGAAGAGGACATTGCATCTTTGTTCTCTTGTCTTAATCTCTTAGCCAGAGTTTTTATTTTGATTCTTGATTCTTATTTGCAGGAAAGACAACGAAAACGAGCTGCAGAAGCCAAAAATGTGTCCCCTGCACAAACAGCAGCAGAAGCCACCCGACAAATGTTAAATAAAAAGGTCCTACTTCAATTCATAAAATTCATTTTTTAGTTCTTAGCTTATCAGAACATTGGCAGAGTTTGTTCTGATTTAATTGAAAGTGGTGTTTTCTTTGCTATTTCTGTGCAGAGACTCAGCTCGAAAATCAACTATGATGTGCTCGACAAACTCTTCGACGAATCTGTATGTTTATATTGCACCTTTTTATTTCACTAATAGTCAAAATATATATACATACATACATTTGGTCTGCATTCTTCCAACATGGGTTTTCCACATTACAATTTAATATATTACATAAACAATGAACAAACACGGCAAGAAGAGGGAAACGGGAATAAAACTAAAGAGGAGTTGAGACATTCCTAAGCGTAACTCAACTTGTTTGCAACTTAGCATCCTCCAACATCACTTGTGAAAAACAAAACATCTGCTACCTGGGCGTTACTCAACTTGTTTAGATATATGTTCTTGACCAAGAGGTTCAATTCCGTCTTAGTTACTGATCCTTCTTGAGATAGGCTCTCTTTAGCCTCACCTCTTCCTGTACCTCTAATAGGATAGGGAGTCGTCTCCTTCCTCATCTTTCTCTTCCACGTCCTCTGGGCGGCACAAAATATCTACTAACCTGAGCGTAACTCAACTTGTTTAGATATATGTCTTTGACCAAGAAGTTCAATTTTCTCAACCCCACATGTTAAACTAAAAACAAAAAAACAAAAAAAAAAAAACGAACAAAACCTCCTCTCTAGCGAATTTTGTGAAGTAATAATTATCCAAGCTTACACAACTCCCTCTATCCCAACAAAAAAAAAAAAAAAAAAAAAAAAAAAAAATGTTAACATCTTTGTTCATCATCACCCGAATAAACGAGGAAATCACAGATTTGCTCTCAAATTTTGAGGTTTTCATGGACTTACTTTCACCACCATTCCAATAACTTATTTTGGTATTTGAAATAGGGACAAACACAAAAGGATACAAGGTAAAACAAAAGTACTTGTAGTTAACGTTCTTCTTGAGAGTTGAAAGTTGTTTATATCCTATACATATTTTTTTTTTTTTTGTGAATTAGGTTAATATCTTGCATCTTGAGGTTTATATAGTGTTCTTATTGTTGATTTCCAAACCTGGAACTTTTAGTAGATTCTTCAGTAAAACAAGGCAATTCTCTATCATAATAACTTTCTTGTCATGGCTATGGATTTCTTCATTAATTGATATTGTACTGTGATCTACATCGCAGGCTGGTACAGAGCTTTCGGCGAAGAAGAAACGCGCAGAACAGGCTGGAGAGACCGACAAGACAAAAGATGAAACCAAAGAATTTGAATCCACAGAGTTCAAACATGGTGAACAGGAACAGGAGAATGATTATGATGGTGATGGAACATATGGTTCTGGTCTGTATTACGAGAATATGGAAGAACCATACAGCTATGAACATGATTATGGGTACGACGAATACGATTGATACCGATATCTCAGGCGTTCAAGATTGCGGGCTAGTGCTTGCTGTCGTTAGTTATAGTTGATCTTATATTCATTGGCTGCTATGTGTTCTATCAGATGAACATTAAGCATGCAACTTGCATTATCTTTAATTTTGCTATCCCATTTGTTTAAATCTTATTTCATAAGGTTTTGTGAGGAAATAGACAATGTAACCTAACGAAAAATATTCTAAAAATGTTTCATAAGGTTTTGGGAGGAAATAGGGATACTATAACTCGTTCAAAATATTGAACAAAATTTCGTTTTTTTTTCATCTAATTTTGGAAATGATATGATTTGATAAGTTTCTTTATTGATTTTTGGAAATAAAGCGATTAGGGTTTAACTTCTTGTTACAGTAACTTTTTAGATTATTTATTGAAACTTAGTTTTTTTTCATCTATTTTTGGAAATGAGTGAGTACTATTTCTTCTACATATAAAAAGAGTTCAACCCGAGAAATGACGTATCTGGAACTACTTAAAATCATATCAAAGTTTTGTAACATGAAAAATATTTTAAAAGTAGCGTGACGGTGATTTTTTTTTTTTTTTTTTTGTATTTTTACTTATTATATGTTCTAAAATCATCAAATTCGAACTTCTGTCACAATAACTAATAAAAATATTGCTCGGAACTCAATTTTTCGTATATTTTTGGTAATGACACAATTAGGGTTTTTGCAATAAGGTTTCACGTTATAAGGTCATTAGTTCAATACTAGAGGGATCTTTTCTTCTTAATTTTTGCTTGAGTACTATTTCTTATATATATAGAAAGAGTGTACCACAAGAAATTAGGTTTTCATCACGGTTTAAAATCGCGTCAAAATTTCGTCAATTATAATCTAACGAAAAATATCGCAAAAATGACCCGACATGTAAACAATTTTTTTTTTTTTTTTTTTTTTTTTTTTTTTTTTTTTTTTTTTTTTTTTTTTTTTTTTTTTTTTTTTTTTTTTTTTTTTTTTTTTTGTGCATTTGCTTCTCATATGCTTCAAAATCATCAAATTTTAACTTTTTTTACGGTAACTTTTTAAAATGACTCGATTAAGGTTTTCATGTTATGGTTTTGCATTGTTAGGTCAATAGTTCAAGGTTCTTTTCTTCTTATTTTTTATTTTTATCGTATATATATAGAAAGAATGTAACCTGAGAAATTAGATTTTTGAAACTACCTAAAATTAGGTCAAAGTTTTGCCAATTGTAACCTGATGAAAAATATTGCATAAATGGCGGAGTGAAATATATATATTTGTGCTTTTACTTCTCATCTATTTCAAAATAATCAAATTTGAACTTTGTCATTGTAGCTTTTCAAAATCACGACATTTTCGTCGATTTTTAGAAATATCTCAATTAGGGTTTTCACGCTATGGTCTAGCATTGTCAAGTCATTAATTCGAGGCTTCACGGTAATTTTTGCTTGTGTCCTATTTCATGTATATATTAGAAAGAGTCTAGCACGAGAGACTAGCGCTTGGGGTCTGAATTCTAATCTCTTCATTTCATCTAAGTCATTATATGATTGATGTACAAATAAGCTTGAAAAATGCCCATAATCGAACCCCGGTTAGCACAATGGGAGGGTACTATGATACCACTACATCTCCAGCTGGGAAGTACTGTGTGTTTTAGTTGGACCATAAAGTTAGCCAATTCTTTGGCTTGGTCAATCTAGCCCTACGCCCTTAACTCTAAGCCTCTTCGCTACTATTATAAAAAGCTTCTCAAGGAACTTAGCCACGATACCACTACACACTATGATTGACCTACAAGTCTTCAAAATTGCACATCCAAGCAATCGAACCCCGGTTAGTACCGTGGGAGAGTACTTATTTCATCTAAGTCATTATACGATTGACCTACAAGTAAGCTTAAAAAATGCACATTCAAGGAGTAGAACCTCGGTTACCACTACACTAGATGTGCACATCGTAGGAAGTACGGTGTGTTTTAGTTAGACCATAAATTTAGCCAATTCTATGGCTTGTTATTGCATCTAATTAATTAGACGATTAATCTACAAGAAAGCTTTAAAAATGCACATCCGAAGAATCAAACCCCAATTAGTACTGTGGGAGGGTACTATGATACCACTACACTAGATGTGCACCAGGTGGAAAGTATTGGAAAGTATAGTGTGTTTTAGTTGAACCATAAAGTTAGCCAATTCTCTGGCTCAGGCCAATCTAGCCCTATTAGGCCCCATAAGTCTAAGCCTCTTCACTACTATTATTTCTTTATTGCATCATCCGGGGAATGGAACCCTAGTGGTCAATCTAACCCTATCAGGCCCATAAGTCTAAGCCTCTTTCACTACTATTATCTCTTTATTGCATCATCCAGGGAATTGAACCACGATCAGTATCGTAGGAGGGTACTAAGATACCACTATATTACATGTGCACATCCAAATGGGAAGTACTGTGTTTTAGTTAGACCATAAACTTAACGAATTCTATGGTTTTGGTCAATCTAGCCCTATCAGGCTCGTAATAAGTCTAAGCCTCTTCACATTCATCTACAAGAAAGCTTGAAAAATGCACATGCGGGGAATCAAACCCTACACCAGGTGTGCACAACCAAGTGGAAAGTACGGTGTGTTTTAGTAAGTTAGCCAATTTTATGGCTTGGTCTAAATGATTGATCTACAAGAAAGCTTGAAAAATGCACATCTTGGGAATTGAACCCAATCAGCATCGTGAGTGGGTACGATGATACCACTACCCTAAACCCTATCAGGCCCATTAAGCCTGTTCACTTTCACTACTAATTACGATTGATCTACAAGAAAGCTGATCAGTACCGTGAGAGGGTACTATGATTCCACTACACCAAACGTGCATATTCAAGATGGAATTTACTAAAAATGGAAATAAGTTCTTGTGTTACGATATTGAAGAAATAAAATAAGGTTGTCATTTTGTTGAACAGAAAAACTTGTTTAACCATACAATTTAAACCTGTTTTTGTTGGGTTATATTTCGAGGGTATAAAAATAAAAAAATAAAAAAAACTAATTATGTATATATAAATACATCTCCAATATCTCCTATCAAGTCATTCCAAAATTTATTTTTGTATTAATTTTTGTTATCGATAATCATCATGTCGAAGGGAACCATGATTATTTTAATTGTGGTTCTCTTTGTGAGCATTGACATGATTAAGATAACAAATGCAACACAATACATCGGTTACGACCCTTTGAAAGGCAACCTTAATCCTGAATGTAGCCCAAAACATCCTGAACTTTGTAAATTAACTCATGCAAATCCATATCAAAGAGGTTGTAATACAATTGAACGTTGTAGAGGAGGTGATTCCAGCGATAATGACGAAAAAGTTGTTGTAGACGATAATGCATCGAGTAGCCCAGCGATGGGTCGTGACGAAGAACCTAGTTTAAATTGAAGTGTGTAATAAACTAAATTATTGTTCTTTTATTCAAATTTTTATTCATTAAGAGATGTTCTACATATTTGGAAGAATATTAATATTATATAGTATATTTCGAGTCATGACACAGAGGTAAATTTCTTTACAAACTCATCGATCATAGTGTAATTTAAAATTTTAACCATTAAATTAAATTAATAAATAATTCAAAATTTTATTTTGTGGACATTTAAATACTCTTTAACGAGAGAAGTACCTCCTCGACAATAGATGAACTAAATTTTACTTTAGCAATTAATAAGGTCGATTTCAGTTTGGTTAGGTTCTTTCTAAGAAAACTTCGAGCTACAAGCGAGCTTAGTGTACCACACAAATATTTGGTTGACACGCCCCTCGATGCACACAAGGAGCATGAATTCAGGTATTGAATGATTAGGTCAATCTCTTAAATTCATGATCGTTTCTCAAAGATACCTGTTTCCATTTCTTTTATGGAGGATATTACATGAATTTTGTTGTCTAAGCTGCAATTATACATCGAAAAATTGATTTTTAGTGGCTAACTCAGATGAACCAAAGCCAAAGTGGTCGGTTTATATCTAAAATTGGAGAAATATAATCACATTGTACACCCATATTTCAATTTTTTTTATTATAATATGTCTTACATTAAACTTATTGGCTATATATCTTTTAAGTTTCTATTATTAATTACACATCTATCCCAAAATCTTTATTTTTTTGGTGCATTATTTCATGCATTTTTTCGTATTAGAATTGAGTATCTGGCTCAATATTAATATATTTACATCGATAATTTAGGTATGGAGTACGACCACTATTAGAACGAAAGGATCTCCTGCATATCGGCGAGTATTACCTTAGGGCCCTTCTCATGTATCATAGTGACTTAATGCGCCCCTCGTGCAAGATCGATGAAGGATCGAGACATACATGAAACCTAGAGCCAAGGAAGAAAAAAAAAGTCCCCAAGTTATAAACCTAAGAAGGATTGAGTACTCCATAAAAGTATACGGAAGGTAGTTGAACAGTGACTTACCAAGTTGGTATAACCGTTTGGCCATGAGTGATCATTAAAAATAGTTATGAGCACATAGCTTAAGTTTTTGTACATAGGATTAAGTCGTACGAGACGTACAAGTAGGTTGTTTGCTGAGTGATTCAGTGACTTACCAAGTTGGTATAACCGTTTAGCCATGGGTGATCATTAAAAATAGTTATGAGCACATAGCCTAAATTTTCATTCGTAGGATTAAGTTTGACGAGACCTACAAGTAAGTTGTTTGCTGTGTGATTTATACTCATTCAATGTTATTCTTCTTTTTTTTTGAGATAGAGGGTAGACCCGGTTGATGGTGGTAGCCTACGGAGCCCTGCAGCTGTAGGGGTGCTCTTTAGATCTAGTCATCTTCCTTACTTATCATTTTATTATTATTTTGAATATTTTAGAAAACTGTTTTGATTTGAATTTGTATATATTATTTTTGAACTATTTTTATGTCCGTTTTGAATGCATATTTAAATTTTAAATTTTTTGTGTCTCTTATCTTACAAAAGAAAATTGTACTATCCTTTTTACCCTTGAGTATACGTGGCTACCTGTTATTCGAGGTATTGAAAATCGGGTCCGGACAGTCAGTGTGCATTTCAAAGGCTCATTCTTGTCCCTTTAGTCTCTTGAACCTATGTCATTAGATTCATACCGAGTTTATTCATTTTTTTTTCTTTATAGATGATAT